TACCAAAAAAAAAAAAAAAAAAGTAACACCAACCTAAGCTTTGGAACACACTTAAATGGATGCAGTCTAGGCTTTGATAGACACATGAACTGCATGATCTTAACAATGTACTTAACTCACCAAAAAACAAAACAAAACATACATAGTGAGACCCTGTCTCAAAAAAAAACAACAAAAAAAAACCCCAAAAAGCAATGTACTTAATCTCACTAATCCACTTTCCCCCTCTGACTTACAGGACTACCATGAGAATTCAAGGAAGAGAAAAACATCAAAACTCTTTAAAAGATGCCTGGAAAGTAGTAAATGCTCAATAAGTATTCGTTTCCTTTCCTTTATCCTTAAGACTGTCATGAAATTCAGAACATTTAATCACTCATTGCCTTTCTCTACTAATCTATTATTCAATTTAAAAGAAAATATATCCATCAAAATATTTAAATAAAGAATTGCGTTTGCTAGATGAAGTGATTTTTAATTTTCCTCTCTCATCTTCCTCCTTCTGAACCCACACATACACAGCAAAAAGTCAATTAATCTCCTTTCCCTCAGTAAATATTTCTTTGTACTTCATAGCACTGTTCCCTCTTTATGGAAAGAAGCTGACTAAAAAGCCATTTTTAATTAAGCAGATATTCACTCGCTTATCCTTACCTGTATCCACATTTGTCTTCACAAAATAATTATTCTCTCATAAAGACTATAAATCGTCAAGGAAGGCTGTTTCTGCAGACAAGAGGAGTCCTGCGGAGGCACGCAGCCAGTCCTGAGCCCACAGCAGTGCCCTCCTATCCATTCTGTTTCCAGAAGATGCTTCTCCTTCGTTCACACGCTTCATTTAATGCCTCGGCCTGTGAGTGCATGAAATATTTCGGTCGAATGTCTATTAGATGAGTGCAAGCAGGAAAATAAACTCCAGCGGCATAAAATAAGATGGCAGGGAGACCCATTGCCTCTGGGGAGAGGCCGTTCCCCACTGAACCTGCTAGGAAGCTAATGAAGAACAGTATCTCTGGATGTGGGAGTTGGCCTCTGGGTGGAAGGTTCTAACAAGAGTGACACTGTTCTTTTCATTTAGTCTAGGGCAATGGTGCTTAGGATGCAGTGCACACAAGGTTTCTTATCTAACCCGCTGCCTTCATACCATGATCCATCATATACTTTTAGGGAAGTGGGAAACTTCACACCAAAGGGGGGAAATGTGTCTTCTGAAGCAATGTTCTGCTTAGACTTGTATGCATATGTAGCCAATATATGCTTTGCTTTAGTAGGAAGTCTGGAATCAAATATAAATCTTAATAACTCATGCATTCATCTGTCTATTCAATAAATATACACAGAGCCCTGTTATGGGTTGGGCACCATGCAAAGACTGGTAATTGCAAGTTGAAGGACACAATGCCAAACTTCCAGAAAAAGCCAGAAAGGAAATGCTGAATTAGCAGCTAGTTGTTACTGTGTTTGAGGGATACATGGGATAGTCTGAGAACTTAGAAGAAGGGTACCTGCCCCAGCCTGGTGTGGAGGGGGATGATAGGGACAGTGGAGGAAGGTGTCCCCTTAAGGTGCTATACAATATCAGCTCCTTCTCTTGGTAAACTCTCATTTGATTTCACTCATTTCTTTTTTTTTTTGGTACCAGGGATTGAACACGCACCCTTGCGCTTGGGAGGCAGGCACTATGATTTCTCTTATTTCTTAACTCTTTCTTTAAAAATATTTTAAACCTCTTAGCTTGGTGCACAACTCTAGTCCCAGCTATTCAGGAGGCTGAGATAGGAAGATCACTTGAGTCCAGGAGTTCAAAACCAACCTGAGCAACATAGCAAGACCCTGACCCTCAAAAACAAAATCAAAATTCAAATTTGCATAGGAACAGTCTAGGGAAAAAAATAAATATTTTCATATACCAGTGTATACATACTTAAAAATACACACAAAATCACTAAACTATTTTAACCAAACGAACTTTAAAAAATTTACAAAAGAAGGCAAACAATATACAGGCCTTAAAAGAGACACTGGGAAATAAGTCATAACTAGGCATAATCTTTAAAGAGTTGATGTTTCCTGTGCAGTTTTTCATGACTCTAACATAACTTTGGTTTTAAAACATTAACATATTTTATTAATTTAGCATATCTTTAACCTTGTCTGTTACACTACCACCTATTCTGGCATGCCGACCCCAAAGGTCTTTATGGAGTAGCTCCAGGCTGCTAGATAGCAGTGACAACCCAGACTGGCTATATGGTTTCAAGATGGATTCTGGCATACTTCCAGATTTGGCTAAAGCCAGTGCATTCCTTTCCCTCCTCCCATACCCACTTTTCCTTGTGCCACATCGTGTACTGTGAGAGAATGGGGTTGTTGGCATACTTTCAAGTTATATCATTGATTCAAATCTATCCCTAACCAAACCTGCTTTTATTTCAGACGTATACTTTCTAGTGATCTGAACTGCAAAGGCAGTAAAACAACTCCACATTCATGTATGCATTCCCATCCCCCAAGGAAGGAATGGTTTTCTGGGCTAAAAATACCTTTAAAGCAATAAAGACTTTGGTAGGCTGAAGTCTTACTAGGGGCTTTCTAAAAATTCGGAATTCCATGAATCAGAAATATGATTAATTTAATACTTAAAATACCAAATGAAGTAAATTCTACGCATCATTCTTCCCAGTAGCTACTTCACAAAGCTATGGTAAAAGATACTAACCAATGTGAAAGTCAGAATCGACATGGGTAATGAGATGGGCCTTCAGGGCAGAGCTGCAGGAGGGGCTGACCACATCCCACCTGCACAGCCCGCCACACTTCGCCATGGATCTCCTCGGGACTCCCTCCTTCCTCCAGGTCTGTGCTCAAATGTCGCCTATGGGGAAGGCCCTTCCTGACCACATTTCTGCCCATAACAAAATAGCATCCTCAGCCCCCTTTCCTGCTTGCTCCCTGGCTTTGCCCTTCCTTCCTTTCTCTACCTCCCTTCATCTCTCCCTTTCTCCCTTTCCTTCCTTCAATTCTTTTTCCTCCCTTCTTCCTGCTCTGCTTTCCTTCCTCTTCTCTCTCCTATCCTTCCTTCCTCTTTCTTCTTTTCAAGGGCCGGGGATTTAGCTCAGCGGTTCGGTGGCCTGCCTCACAAATGCAAGGACCCGAGTCCGATCTCCAGTACCA